AGCAAATCGCAGTAAACCACATGCTTTTTGTGATTTGCTTCGATCACAGCAAATCACAAAATCCCCACGTCCCTGCTGTACGTATACTAAAACTTAAGTAACAGGTAAAGTTAAATGAAGCAGCCAAAATTCTGAAATTTTGGTCGACTTGCTAAATTGTCTAATATATTCGTAAAAATTACATGAAATATAAAATTTTTTACAATTGAACAACTCAGCCCGAACTTTTTTGAGTAGACTTTAAACTCGGGACCTAAAGGAACGAGTCCCAATGATCGCATACAAGAATATACATTTCCTGCAATTCTAACAATCTAATCTTGTTTCGTATTTATTTGAACGCCATTGGCAAATCAAATGATTGTGGTAGAACAAAATGAGTCTGGTCTCAAGTCGAGTCTAAATTACGACTCGACTTTTTGTGAGTCGAGTCAAATAAATCATACTTTTCACATTCTTATTAATTGGTCTAATTATGACCTATATTAATTTGCCGGCCATTTACTGTGCCACGGTTATTGTTTAAAGTGTCTTTTTTGATTCATCAAAATTGTATATAAAACTAACAACTTTTGTTATTTATAACGATAATCCAATTAAATTCTAAATATATTTTAGATCAAGAACGGAACTTATGCATGGCCGGCAAATTACTTAAGCTCTGATTATGACCCAATAGCCTTGTCATTATTTATGGCTTGGAGTTTGATCAAATGATCTGGTCATTTACCATCCTTGTAAATGTACAGCTCTAAGCCCCAAACTTGGAGCTAGATACGATATGGAGGGTATGCATCTAGGGTGGATGTACAGTACTTAGGAGATAAGTTACACCATAAGGAACTATCGCTATTAAGAAACTCCAATTCTTTATATAGTGTTTAATGCATTTCGATACCATAGGTGGGTTTTTTATGATCCGGCCCGTCCTTTTATTAGAAACCATTAATATACATTACCTATCGTTATTGTGAGAAACACTTTAACCCAAATTACTGCATAAAATAGCGTGTGAAACTTCAGAATTAGATGCTTGCTACTAAATATATCACCATGTACGCATATATGCACAATTTTATACTAAAAAGTAACAGAATATGTCATACAGCAGATTCGTCTCAATGGCGCAATGTAACAGTAAATATGGTAACGTTCTGTTCGAAACGCATATATATATATATACCCAGGTTCCTCAAAACAGAAAGTTGAGCCGTTTATTCCTTACGTATTCATTTTGCAAATCTTCTTAACGAGCTTTAAATCATGCCAAGAAAGAAATCAAATTCAGATGATGGTGATCTTGAATATGCACCATCTAGGGAATCGATTATTGAAGATGAGGAGACTGAGTCTCAACCTAAAACTAAAGCTCGTCGATCGAAGAAGAAAACTGAGGACAGTGATGACTCGGTCGAAGACTCTCAAAATGATACTGTAAAAGATAAAAAATCTAAAAAGCATAAAGATACGACGAATAATAAAAAAAAAACTAAAAAGAATCAAGATTCAATTATTGATACTATAAGTAATTCCGCGGTCAGCCAACCGGTGCATTGGGTACAGCAATTAGTAAAAGGTGATGAAAAGGATAAAAAGAAAGATAAAGATCCTCTTACTGCTGCTGAAAAAAATAAAAAGAAAGATAAAGATCCTCTTACTGCTGCTGAAAAGAATAAAAAGAAAGATAAAGATCCTCTTACTGCTACTGAAAAAGAGGCCGCTAATGAAGCCGAAGAGGAGATCTTGAAATCAGTACCATTACCATCCTCTTTAAAATCTAGGGGTAATAATAAAAAAACTTGCATTATTGGCGCAATTAATATCCAAGCGTTTGGTACCAAAAAATCCGCAAATAAACCTATAATGAGAATTATTGTTGATATTCTCAAACGTTATGATATTATCCTTTGTCAAGAAATCCATGCACCAAATGGCAAAACAGAAATTATTCAAAATCTTGTAGACTCGATCTCGACTTCATCTACACCATATGCTTATACCTTATCCGATCCCATCGGTAGAAATTCTTATCAAGAAAGATATCTTTATTTATATAGGAAAAATGATTGGAAAGTAATTGATGCTTACATAATTGATGATACAAAGTTGGGAGATAAATTTATTCGAGAACCCTACGTTGCACGATTTCAACATCTGAAATACTCTGATGTGAGAATTAATCTTGTCGGTTGCCATACGCAACCAGAAAACGCGTACAACGAAATCCAAGCATTAGTAACTGATGTATATCCTGATGTAAAAAAGAAAGTAGTGCAAAGAACAAGAGGTATATCTAAGACGACGGAAAAAAAAGAGGATCTCGTTGACGGACTCACTCGTTTATTTAGTTATTGTTGTAGTTGTTTTACGACATCCACTGAAGCTACGTCAAATCAAAAAGCAAGAGATGTAGATGTTAGTGAACCTATAGTTATAATGGGAGATTTCAATGCATCAGGATCTTATCTTAATAAAACTAATCGTGAAGAACTTGATAAAATTTTGCAGCAAAAAAAATTGGAATGGGGCATTGATCATAAAAGTGACACTACTGTTGGAACCGCAGATGCTGCCTATGACCGGTTTATATTTGAACAGAAAAACATGGATAGGTGGATTGGAAAGACCGACGTATGGAGATTCGACGAAGGTTGGACAAACAAAAGTAAAGAAGATCCGGCTTTGGTTAAGAAAGCTGCAAAACGTGTTACTGATCATTATCCTATTGAGTTCGAATTTAAATTAACATAATTTATATCTACAGTGTATTGAAATATATTGATTATATTATAATTATCTTCGTTTTTATTTTCATCTATATTTCTGAGTGTAAATTAGGATAAATAGGTTGTATTTTTTTTTAAAAAAAAATTTATATTTTATATTAAGAATACTTGTATATTATGTATGATTTTGATAACGAATAATAAAGTGGTATACACCTTATAATATTTGCAAATTCAGAAACTCGATTAACACATTGGCTTCAAAAAAGCTATCCTTTTCTTCATGATATTTTATCCTGTCATTGGCTGAAATGAGCAAAATATCAAATTAATTCAGTAGAAATAATTATTTTCACTTGTCATCTACCCTTGAAATTGAATCCAATAAGAATAAATAAAGTTAGTTTTTACTATTCATAT